CATGTGTAGACTTCACATTTGATCAAACGTGATTGCGCTATATACTGTATTACAGTATTTATAGCATCAGTTTTTTATGGTGATAATTGATGTGGAGTCAAGTCATGCTTTTATTGTAAAAACGAATGATTGGTATCGCGCGGTTTATTCATTTGTTGCTTAAAGTGGTCGCTGCCATCAAAGTCGCATACCAAATCTGTAAACGTGTAGTTATATAATTATTATTAGGCAACTGTTCTTTTGAAGCCGCCGATTTTAGTCAAATACAGGCTTCTCGTTCGTTGCGCTCACTCTTGAGATACTGTATCATGTTCAACAGTCGAAACAAATCTGGTATTTCCGAGCATCCATGAGATTATTCTCTATGTTACAGTATGCATGTGGATACACATAATGGTATAAATAATGCTTTTAAAATCGACATACCGTATATTGTTCCATTTGATTTCGACAAACAGGAATATAGGGACAAATATTTGAAACACCAAACCCTCTGCCTGTTATGCGGTTTTGTAGAAAACCTGGCGTACAAAAATTTTATATTTGATGCGTATTCAAGGTTGACATTGAATGATATCCTCTCATATTTGTATTAATTTAAGTTCCTTTTACAACGTTTATAGATCTTTCAAAGCTTCCAAATCATGAGGCGCACAAGGAAAATATACAAGATTCAAAGTCCACCGGTTTTCACGAAATTTGATTCTTGGCGACGCCAATACACGCAGTGATTTGATTGGCGCCCTACACGGTTAAACGCTTTCAGAGATTGATTGTTGTCAAATCACGCACAGACGCGCAATTATTCAAACGCTAAATACTATATTCAGAAATATACTATGAACTGTAGAGAAAAGAATAAACCCATCCTGACTCTCTATCAAAGGTCGCTACTTGGTATTCGAGAATTCGAGTGTTGAATATCGAAAGATCTTAGAAGTGATGTGAATGCATAAGGTGATTGCTGGCATAGTTATGTTGTATTGGTTGATGAATGAAAGCGGAAAGGTAATTCAAAATAACATATTCGATATCTTGTCATATTGCCTATCTTTATCGTTTTATTAAATATCCATTTGCCATATCAGGTAAGCTTAACTAGCTTTCGCTTACGAAGTTATGAACTGATTTCACAAAGTCAGGTCTTACGCTACTAAGAAAACCAGGCCCATATATTTTTGGCCACTACAATTTATTATGCAGTGGTTTATTATTCATATTAATCTTTTTCTATAGCGAACATGTTCACCCCAAACAAACCACACGCTTTGCAGCTAAGCTTTGCAGAAACGATGGGCAGGGGCGGATCTAGGGTAAGTCCAATCAGTCGCGTGACTGACGTATTTTTGCAAAGAAATAATTAATTTATTATTTCGAAATTTGAATAATTAATTCCCGAATATAATATGAAATTCATATCATAGTCCAGTATACGTCTTTACGAGCTCAGTTTTGAATAAATATATGCTTTATCTAGAGCAGCGATAAAACGCAAGAATCTCGCAGAATCGGGTGGTCGTTATGCTCATTTGATTGGTCTAGAGGTCATTTGGACTTATCGCGACTGATCTGTGGGGTAGCCGGACTGATTTGCACTTTAAGGGAGTCTTTTTCAGGCCATTTCTTTCCTTTGATTGGTCAATTTGAAAATATTGTGGGGTGGTCGGACTGAATTGCAACTTAAGGGAGTTTTTATGGGGTGGTCCGACTGATTTGCACTTTAAGGGAGTTTTTATGGGGTGGTCCGACTGATTTGCACTTTAAGGGAGTTTTTATCAGTCCATTTCCTTCATTTTGATTGGTCAATTTGAAATTATTGACAATTTCTATTGGTTCATTTTTTTGGACTGATTCGGACTTATTCGCGGCAGGGGATATCAGTCCTTGAAAATTGCGAAATTCATGCAAAGCAGTCCTTCATATTCCCGTATATGAAGGTTTTTCATAGTTGGGAGAATTATTTTACGATATCGAGTATTTATATGTACGAGACGATTTAACGGCCTTTAATAAACTTTGAATTGTCTCTGAATGAGGATTATTGTGGGGCAGCTAAGATATCAAGCGAGCAGCTTTTATAATGTTGTTCTGTTCAACAACGAGAAGGCACTAAGTTGGGACTTCTCTGCTACGTGCTTCACAATAAATCACAAAGATCATGGTCGTAATTTGGGTGGTAAAGCCAAAGGGAAAGTGTGCACTGCTATGATGTATGACAATATCCAAAATTATGAAACAGAAATGAATATATTGCAATGTATCTTGTATGATAAATGCGAAGTTGAAATATAACACGCTTTAATACATTTTTACACGCAATCGACTTGCAACTTACAATGCGCTTTCGGGCCTTACAGCTTTCCTGCTGTATTTATAATTTATAAATGCATTGTCCATTATCAAAAGGGCCAGAATAGCGCATTGGCATTGGAGGGTTAAAACAATATAATTTGGATAATTTGCATTGCACGAAAGATTTGCGATGAATATCGTTATAATATACAAGTGATATTTATAGCATATTGTAATTCATTAAATAAAAAATGCATTTTACAAAGTATAATTGAAATATTACTCTTTATTTTGCTTGAGAATTTTGATTCACAAACAGCGAGTTATATTGGATCGGCCATTGGTATCATATCACTTCAATTTGCGAAGGATTTCATGAGCCAAACTCAAAGACTATTGAAAGTTGAAACTACATGATGTGTTTTGTAATATGACCCTCCGTTAGTAAATCTAATTCCGAGGACTGGGAGAAGGCACGTTTGTGAGATCATAAAAAAAGCATGTGCTTGATGTACTTTATAATATTTGGAATTCTGCAAAATCTCACCGCCAAAACGCTTGAAATCGCATTTCAGAGACTCTAGATTTCAAAATTTTCCGGGGGGAGCATGCCCCCCAGACCCCCTTAGCATGTCTCACGCCTTCGGCGTTCGACTTATGTTTGAAAAATCCTAGATCCGCACCTGACGATGGGCATGAAATAGAATCTAAGTAATTAATATTTTGTTGACATTGTAAATACAACTACGCAAGCAATACTGGCGTTTGAATATTGTTTAATTTTATATAGACAGTGCAGTTCTCTGTGATATACTATATGTATTTAGCCCTTTTGCAACCCCAATATTTATTTAAAGCCAGAACGGTATTTAACTTTTTTGTGCAGAGCTTGGTTTGATTATAATTTTTAGCCAATATTTGAATAAGTCTGAATTATTTCATGCCAACATATTGGCGTGAAAATCTATTACGTTGTTACACATGTTTGGCAAAATTTGCGCATGTTTAAAATATCTCGCTAAACCGTAAAATTACGGGACATGCTACTCTTGGCAAAAACGCCTAGGCGATTGTGGAATTTGGAGAAAATTATGGATTTTTTAAAGTAATATAAAAAAAACCTTCAATCGAATATCCTTGCATATAATATTCCGTGTTATTTGAAAGTGTCAGAATTTCTGCCGGATACTTTGGAGTTTGGACGTCTGCAATCTGCATGGTCTCCGCAGTTTTCAGTGTATTTGTGATTTAGCCGCATTTGAAGGTATCAGAATTTCTGATACTTTCGGTAGTCCGCGGTCTCTGCAGTTTTCAGTGTATTTGTGATTTAGAATCATTTGAAAGTGTCAGAATTTCTGATACTTTGGACGTCTAGTTTCTGCAGTGTCTGGTCTCGGCTGCTTTAATAAGAGTACCTAAACTATATAGAAAACATTGTATCACACTTTTATATATTTCCTACCCAATGGAGTGTTGCAAATTTCGTTAGTTATCCAAGGTGGTTTTGAAATCGTAGGATATTGTCACATGTATTGCAGATATTATATTTTTTTACGGAGGCGGTATTTTTATCTGCAAAATTGGGCTGTTTTGAACGAAAAGTTTTTGGAGTCAGCAAAATGTTGTAAATAAGGCTGTTTTTGTCGAAAAAATATTATTTTGGAAAATGCAAAGATAGTTTGGAAAGCGTTCACTGTAGATGTACAGTTTATGCCGTGTAATTACAGTATTATCTAATTGGGTGATCATGCATAAATCCCCTGATAACGTTGCATGATAGATTTGACGATTTCTTCAGCAATTATAATATATACAGTATTTAATTTTTATCTAATTAGGTGTTCATGTATACTAGAGATATAGCTTTGCTGTCTTTTAAAACAGGTCTTAAACTCTACTACAAACATGCACTATCCAAAATTTTCAAATGTGACGATCCGCGCACCTGCATGGAAATCAGTGTGTGTAAAGTGCAAAAGAGCCAGATCGCTTAACGATGTAATAAGTTGCTGTTAGTCCTATATATTATTGAACATGTTACATGTAAACGCTTTAATTAAAGGGATACGATTTAGTTAAAGGGATATATTTCCATGTTATCCCGACGATGACGCAAAGTCTGATCAAACCAGCATAATGGCTGAACATGTTTTTCATGACACCAAAATAATTGATATATGAAACCATTGGTCCTTTTGCTGTATCAACAATCCCTCGCTTTCAAAGTACAAAGCTGAACTTAATTATGGAATTAAGGCTTCTAAAGAACTAATCATATTTAATTAATTATTTAATAATCAACCTAATGTATTATATTTCTTCATATAAATACAGCTTTTGATGTATAGCCTAGCTAGATTATCCTGATTATGACTGAAATATAGTCGAAAACAGTTGCCATTGAAGACTTCAACCAAGACCTAAGACCAATCTCATTAACACCAACTTTGTCCAAGATTGCTGATTCATGCATCATCGAGCAGGAAATAAGACCTATGCTGCTGAAGGCAATGGATCCAAAACAATTTGGTTTTGTGCCCAATTCATGTACTATAGGTTTTCTTTAATTTCGATGTTATATTGCTGGTTGGAAAACACGAATGGTACTGGTTCGCGCGTCAGGGTCGCACTTCTGGATTACAGAAAAGCGTTTGACTTAGTGGACTACAATATTTTAATTGCCAAACTTTTTAGCCTTGGAGTCAAACCGACAGTTGTAAATTGGATTGCTGACTTTCTACGAGGCAGACCACAGCGTCTAAAGCTTAACTCTGATAGCTTTTCAAATTCCGATATAGTTCCAGCTGGAATTCCACAAGGCACCAAGATTGGTCCTTGGCTATCTTTAGCGCGATGATCAACGATATAGAGATCTCTGGTAACTCCTGTGACTTGTGGAAATGCGACGACACTACCCGAAAAACCGATCAAGTAGACTACAGGAACAGGTGGATAAGTGATAAATTGCTGGTCGAACGAAAATAATTTTCAGTTAAATTCTCAGAAATGTAAAGCTTCGTTTTGACTTTACTAGACATCGACGTACACACGACCCAATAACTGTCAACGACCAAGCTTTTGAAGTCGTGCAATCTGCCAAAATTATTTGTGTAACTATTATAGGCAAGATCTTCAATGGAATGACATGTAACCGAGATTACCCACAAGGCATTAATTAAGCGGCTATATCTTCTACGAATATTAAAAAGAGTACGTTTGGACGTAAATTATTTTGTGCATTTCTACTGTACGTGCATCCAATTAACTCTATAGAATATGCCTGCCAGACATTTCATAGCAATTTGCCAGTGTATTTGTCTAATCAGATTGAAAGAATACAGAAACGAGCTCCTCGCATGCTTTACCCAGAAGACCATTATGGTGATGCGTTAAAACTAACAGGGTTGCAATCCTTGGCGGGTAGAAGAGATAGACTATGCAGATAACTTTTTAACCTAGTATCTATTGACAATAACCACAAATTAGCGGATTTAGTACCACCACTAATTTCAAACAGTATAAAATTTAGGTCTGCCTCAAAATATGACTTGCCGGTTTTAAAGACGAATCGTTTTAAAGACAGTTTCATTAACTATTACGCTTCAAAGGTTCAAAGAAAAGACCCTATATAATAAATATTTCTAGTAGATATTCTTAATATAATTCATATTCTTAATATAATTTATATTCTTAATATAATTCATAGATATTCTAATGTAAACTTTTAGTATTGCATGCATAATAGTTTAGTAGAAGTAGGATTTAAATTACTTTGTAATTGACACGTAATTAAGTCCTCGGACTGCCGTGTGTAAATTTTAATAAACTTTTCCTCTCTTCCTCTCTTTCCTCTCTCGAAGCGTAGATCAATACAAAAATGTTATCGATCTTTGGAGTTTCACTTGTTTTGTATTTTGTTAAAATACTCAGTGGTTCTAAAAATTACTCGCATTTGTGCACTATTACTGAAATATGACAATTGACATTAATTGTAAGTTGAACTTCTTAGTGCGTGGTATTGCGTTACATATAGAACGGACATTAGAATATTACATATAATTTATACATGCAATACATTATGTATGACATCGTTGATGAAAGTGAATACCACTGCAAACTCACAGCCAATTGCAGTTAATTAAGCTAAGCGATATTTTATTTCAAAACACCTACACATGCATATGTGACACGTGCTGCATGGGACTAATAATTTCGCGGCTTTGAACAATCCAAGAGAAATTTGTCGTTATAAATTGTCATATATTTTATACACGTTCATGGAAAAAGCATTTATTCTTAGCCTACAAATAATTGACACTTTACGAATTATATTTCCCTATAAACATAATAACATAACATCCGATTGCTGCAAGTGTATACAGTCGTAATTTGAACAATTTTATTCTCACGATTTAGGAATTGTTTTGAGAATATTCTTCGCGTTAATTTTACTAAAGAAAAATGTGTATTGTTAATATTTCAGTCTGCTCTTAAGTGACTTTTCTATACCTTGTCAATAACCACGACAAGCAGACAACTTCAGAAAATAGAAAATAAAACAAATTCCAAAAATAGACATCTTGTGTTCTTGATATTCAAGATAAAAACAAGAATGTAAAGACAGAGTCGGTAATATTTCGTCTTTATTCCAAAGACATCGTCAGACCTATGAAATTACAAGTAAGCTGTGATCTATATGTATAGCTATTTACAGACGCAGCGGAAGATAAAAAATTACTAATGGCTTTAGAACAATGATAGTTTTTTACAAGCTTTTAGACCACTATTGAGATGTGGCATATTACGCTTTATCAGTAGTGCTTCTAGGATAAGAAGTTGATTAGGATTATTATTATTACAACGATATAGGATTTTAGTATTAGTTTGAATTAGATTACGAGGATTGCAAAGTAAGTCAGTGAAGGACAATCTAAGTGTAAGGACAATCTAAGAGATGTTGAGATATGGCACTATAGAATTGTTGTAGTCGGTAGCGTGCTGTGTTAGTCGCGTTTGTAAGTTACGTTCAGTTTTACCTATGTACGTTTGGCCACAACCAGGACACTTAAATTCGTAAACTACATTGGCTTGACAAAGTTCCGGAATTTTATCCTTTTTTGGACAGAAAAATGAAGTTTTCTTAGTTTGATAAATTACAATTGGTTTAATAGGAATTTTCAAACTGCGACGGATTTTGCGGATAACATTGAAAACTAAATTTTCACCTTGTTTACCAAGATATGGTATTCTCAAATAAATTTTGTGCAAATCATTGTCGGCATTTTGTTCAGATGAATTAATGTTAGATGTAACCTTGTTTTTGAGCTTGTGTATCAAAAAGTTCCGGATTTTAAGAGGAAATCCGTTCCATGACATGAAAGACTTCAACATACGAATTTGGTTGTCAAATAATTTTTGGTTGGAACAGATCTTAAATGCACGATGAAATAAAGAATTAATCCAAGTGGTTTTGCGGTTGAATGGTTCAAAACTTGAAAAATGCGTGTATTGACCTGTGTGAGTTGTTTTACGGAAAACATCAATGCCGTCATCAGTAATCTTGAGATCGAGAAAATGGACATCTGAGTCAGAAAAATCATCCATCGTAAATTTAATATTTTTATCAAAACTGTTAAATTTTGCGAGAACATGAGGAATATCAGAAGGCCGAATGAGAACCAGAGTGTCATCAACATAACGACGGTAAGATTTTATGACATCTGTATTGATTAGATCTGAAACAATGATATTTTCAAATTCGGTGAGAATTATGTTTGCTAGAACGGGTCCGAGCGAGGACACCATAGAAACGCCATCGAGTTGTTCGTACAGAGTTCCATTGCATGAAAATATAGTTTTAGTGCATGAATCAAGAATAAGTTTTTTGAGAGTTGACTTCCGGAGTGTAGTATCAATTAGATTTTGTTTGTAAATGCGATCTAAGATTATGTTAATTGTTCTACGTAATTGTTAATTGTTCATTAGTAATTTTAAACTTCCGCTGCGTCTGTAAATAGCTATACATATAGATCACAGCTTACTTGTAATTTCATAGGTCTGACGATGTCTTTGGAATAAAGACGAAATATTACCGACTCTGCCTTTAAACTCTTGTTTTTATCTTGAATATCAAGAACACAAGATGTCTATTTTCGGAATTTGTTTTATTTTATATACCTTGTCATGTTCTCTAATTATTTAAAATACTAGTTATTTAGTATAATAGTTATAATATATGTTCCAAAAGCAATTGAAATTCCGATGTCAGCAGGAGTTAGCAGGCATCAATAACCACACATATTTAGTTTGCATATTTTGTACCTTGTCTGTATTATTCGTGTCGGTCTTTGGCAACGTTTTCCGATTGAATTATAAGGTAAGTGATGAAGACACATTTTCACTTTTTCTATTTACCTCTTCTGTCAGGTGGATGCAGTTCGTTTGTTGAGCATCTTAACGTAACGTACCTAGTCGAGCCATCACTTCCGGATATCCACGATAAATTTTGCCTATTAAAAATTTCAGTATGAATGTCATTATATTGTATGGCCTATATCTTAAAATAATTTAATAAGGGCAATAATATCAAAAAGGAAGATCTTCCTAAGAAGCGCCTTCCATTATAGGCCTGAATGATCTAGACGGGTTTATTCTCTATAGTATGTTTATGAATTGAGTTATACGACAATGAGATATTATACACGATACAATTAATAAACTAATTGATTTTCTTAAAGCGGGATTTTTCCGGACCTAATTTAGTAAATTTACTGTTCCTTATCCGAGGTTGTTTCAAAATGTAGGCTAATATGTAAAATATAACTTCACAAGGGGAAATTATAAGTAATTTGTAAATGCATTCATGTAGTACGTCGGACAAAGATATAATTCCAATGCACTAAGGATTACGTTTGTAGCATGTCTCAGAAGAAAACCAATCATTACTATGATTCGAATATCTTGATAATTATAGGCAATATACAGTATGTCCATTAGTTAAGTGCATATATAGGTTCAGTTTAAAGTTGAACACAATTCTCCATGTTAATTGTTTCGCTTCACTTCTTGCAGGCATCGCACAATTAAAACATATAGTAGCTGCATCAGCAATTCTCATATTTAGTTTCAATTCTTAATCAAACTCGGCTCTTGTGAGTATATGGAGCATATTTATCTGCTTGGATTAAGATTTCTTTTTTATTGCGACATTTTCAATAAGATCAAGCATGCAATTGTGTTCTTAGACGTATCATGTAGTTGACAATTAGGAACGGCTGCTACAATTAATTCTAAATTACTAAAATATTTAGTGTATGATCTCTGCACATGGTGCATTTTTTTGCAAATGCTCTGTGAAACAGCTCGTATACTACATCATATCATTAACTAAAGCAAGTAATTCTACTTAATTAAATATAATGGAATGTCTGACCCGCAACACAAACTGCACCATCTTCTTCCTAATAAACTTTGCAAGGTACGGCAAAGGGTTACACGTCAGAATGGTCAATTGTTTTACAATTACCACTACAGAACAGAATGTTTTCGGAACAGTCCAATCGTTTCGTCAATTGAACTCTATAATAACTCTATTGTATAATATAATATATAATATAACTTTATATATTTTTATCGAAACATTTTTAACACGTAGTGATAGTTTTTGGATCAGTCCATTTGTTTCGCCATTTGAACCTTTGTTAATAACTCTCTTTTTTAATATAAATATCTCATTTGAAACTTTTATAATACCTAATGTAGATAGTTCAGTATTTAATGTATATTTTCTATATATATGTAATGCGCGTTCTAATTTAGTTACGTACTGTAGCTATTCAATGTGTAATCTTTCTATAATAATAATAATAAAAAAAATAAAAAAAAATAATAATAATAATTATGCAATACGGCGTGGGAAACTGTGTAGTGATGGCAA